TTGTTATTATATCAACAACATTGCTATCTTTTAGCCCTAGACATTGCCTCAGAGAGTCCTCGTTTGCTATTTGAGTGTAACAAAACTTGATTTTCAAGACAATAATGCTCTGCCAACAAAAACTACAATACTTGATTATTTCTAACACTGAAAAAAATATTTCAAAGTAAGTACTCTTTTCTGATATGTGTTATAAAGCTTGGTCCCCCCATGTACCTGTTTTTTAACTGCTTCTCTGTATGTCATGAGAAAACTTGAATAGTCTTATGACAGGTTCAGCTTTTGTGTTGTTTGGTATAATTAAGTCTAGGGGTAGAAGCGCTCCTTCCTTGAGTTAATAAAACATCTACCACAGATGCATAGGGACTGAGGAAAAATAAGAATTGATCAATAGATATGGCAGAGAGAGATCTTTTCCCTGACCCTCAATTCTATTTCTTTCTTCTTAAGCCTATGTATTTAGCTACATATTCTGTAAGCTGCCAAACCAGAGCTATTGTGCCATCATGATGGCATCCTCCACAACAGTGGAGATTGTTCATTTATTTTGCAGTTAGCACTATTGCTAGATCCTGAAAATTAAAATCGAATAAACAGCTTAAATTTTCCAGAAGAATAACTTATGATGATGATATTTTTAAACAATAAAATGCTAATTTTACGCCCAGCACAGTTCTGAGGACTTTTCATAGGTCAATCCCCACAGCAACCCTAAATATAGCATCACAATCATATTCTTTTGCAGGTGAGGGAAAGAAGGCACAGAGAAGTGAAACAAGTTTCTCAGAGTACAGTCTATAAGACTTAGATTAGCTTATAAAGCTGACTTGGAGTTAGGTAATAACTTAAAAGGTTGAAGATTTGAACACAAGTAATTATCTCCAGAAAGCAGGCTCTTAACCACTACTTTTTTTCTCTCTCTTTAAGGACACCTAGGACTTCCAAGGACATTAACCCATTGTCTTCCTTGAATGTTATGTGAAATATTGTAAAATCTTCAATGTGATGTGGGAAAGGAGGCATATGGTTACTCTAATCAGATAGCACCTAATTTGTGAATGGATGTTTCATATAAAAAGTCTTTGTGGGTCTAATATGATAACATCTTCAACTCCACTAAAAGTCAGTATCAAGTTACCAAGATATCTCACATAATGATTTACTTAGGAGGCATTTTCCTAAATACTTCAAAATCACAGAGAAATTGTGAGCCTTCTATCCAGTGTGTAATGGTCATCACAGATCATCTCCATCAGCGCTGCTGGATTCCATGGACTAAGTATTTTTTAGCCAGGATCACCTGGAGAACCTTCTGTTGTTCTAGGTCACATTTAAAAACAACAGCTTTTTAGGTTGACCTTAGAAATATTCAGTGAAAAAATACATAAACGTGATATATGCTGCCTCCAGAATCCAGAATGAACCATTGGACATTTTAAAGGTAGAATTTATCTTTTTTCTTCTATTGGGGAGAATATGCTCTAGACCACTGAATTCCTAGACATTCTCTAGTGGTGATTACAAAAGGCAAATATTGTATTAAATTTCACATGATAGTAATAGGTATTAATCCTCAAAATGATTCCATAAGTAGAACTCTACTATTCCCTCATTTTAAGGATGTCAGAGCTGACACTGAGAGCATTTGCATGACTAATAAATATCAAAGGCTGAGTTTTATCTTGCATATTCTGAGTCCAAGAATGAACTATTTTTATTACACCATCGTGATCACCAATGCTTATAGCCGAACAGTATCAGATTTAGATGTTAATCTCCTACATTTTGAAAGTATGCAATACAGGAATATGATTTAGAATAATAATCATACTATTTGGAGCTTAACTTTGGCATTTGAAACATAAAGATTCTGCCCCATTCAGAAACTACTGGATCAGAAATATTCTCAAATGGGGTATGGGAACTGGCACTTAAAAAACAGCATCTGGGAGAAGAGAGTCTACACTAAAAATCAAGAACTACTGCTCTAACTGCTCATTGTATGGAAATGTTGTGCCTCCAGAAAAATCTGTTTCCTCTTTGATGCCTGGCTCCATATCTTTATGGAGCCAAATTACACAGTGCTAAATGACAAGGGGCATTTATCAATGTCCCACTGTCCTTCTTCTGTCCATTTCTTCCCACTTAACTTCGAGATGCACATCTAGAGCTGTTGATGAACACTTCCCTACAGAACCCAGGTCTCACATTTAGCTTACAGCTAAACCTCACCCTACTAAACTTTCATACATTTTGAGCACTGCCCTTGATTTCCTTTCTTATCTTCTCTGGTCATTTCAAACAAATACCTCCCTGGATTCAGTATTTTTATGAAATTGTATTATAACATCACCCTGAAATATGTTATATGGTCCCATGCTTTCTGCATGGTCAGCCTTAAATAGGAAATAGACATGAATTTGACGTGCCCTTTATCAACCTAAACTGACTAGAAAAGCGCAGACATTCAAATTAATAAATAGAATACTCGGCCGGGGGCAGTGGCTCATGCCTGTAATCCCAGCACTTTGGGAGGCCGAGGTGGGTGGATCATGAGGTCAGGATTTTGAGACCATCCTGGCCAACACAATGACACCCTGTCTGTATTAAAAATACAAAAGTTAGCTGGGCATGGTGGCACATGCCTGTAGTCCCAGCTATTCAGGAGGCTGGGGCAGGAGGACTGCTTGAACCCTGGAGGTAGAGGTTGCAGTAAGCCAAGATTGCACCACTGCATTCCAGCCTGGGTGACAGAGCAAGGATCCCTATCAAATAAAGTAAAAATAAATAAATAAATAAATAGAATACTATCAGACAGAAGGCTATATTCCATAATCTCCATTGTGGTTGTGGAAGATTCATAGAAAGGAAACCAGTTTTTAAATTTTTTATATTATGGTAAAACACCATGCTAGGAAAAACGTACAGCTGATAAAGATAAGGATGATGATGATGATAAATTACATGTAATTCTATACCTAATAATGTTCAGTAAACTATTTCATTATTGACCCAGTAAGCCTAGACAATATTTTAATAGATATTATTTTTCATGGCAACTCAATCTTGCATCATTATGAAAATTGAATAAATACAGGGTGGTCTATCACAACTCTCTAAGCTTCTTTGTGCAGTCAGCAACATGAAGGCAATAAACTGCATTTTTTAAAAAATCCTGCTTGAAAAGACTTAAAGACCAACAGAAGAGGAAACTTTTTTTTTATTAATGAGGCACTAAGCAAAGGAAGGAGGTTTGGTGCCTAATTCTGGTGCTTTAATTGGTAGGAAAAACATGTAAACTAAAAGATTAAATTAAGGTTGAATTGGGAGAAAATGCCAAATTACACAGGGCTTCAGTTTCTTTGAAGTCCTGCCTCTCTTTTATTGTCAATTACATTCATAATCTTAGTCTTTTCACACTCCCTCCTTTTTCTCCCAAATAAAACTTATTGTCAGGAAAAAAACGCCTGAGAAACATATTTTCATTGAATCTTTTTGTTGTTGTTGTTGTTGTTTTGTTTTGTTTTGTTTGAGACGGAGTTTCACCCTTGTTGTCAAGGCTGGAGCGCAATGTGCAATCTCGGCTCACTGCAGCCTCCGCCTCCCAGGTTCTAGTGATTGTCCTGCCTCAGCCTCCCAAGTAGTTGGTATAACAAGTATCCACCACCACACTCAGCTAATTTTTTTTTTATTTTTAGTGGAGACAGACAGGGTTTTGCCCTGTAGGACTGGCTGGTCTCGAACCACTGGCCTCAGATGATCTACTCACCTTGGTCTCTCAAATTTGGGATTACAGGCATAAGCCACTGTGTCTGGCCTACACTAAATCTTTTATCACTATCTTTTCTAAGGGATATTGTATGGTGTCCCCAGACTGTCTGTCTGTACTCCCATAAAAGTCTAAAAACTCCTTGGGAAGTTGAGGTTTCATAGATAATATAAAGACCTTTCAAAATGTGCTATCTTATCAAAGGTCCTTTATTTTATGAGGAATATTTTACATATAATAAAATTTAAATAATTTAAATGTACAGCTCAGTAACTCTGGACGTGTATACACCAGTGTAACCAACACCACTATCAAAATGTAGAACATTTAAAAGCCCTTCATAAATGTAAAATGCAATGCAAGTCTTTGGCCTAGATAAAAATAATAAATACAAAACTGATTCTCTAATTGTGATGTCTCATAATTATTTTTTTTGTGGTCTAACCTTAAAAACAAACTGTATTATATCCCATATCTCATGACTCATAGGTATCTTATCATAAGATACATATAGGCCAATATGATTCTTGCTTCTATTTGACTTAAATATGTCATATCTTTCTCTAACAAATCCTTGGAGTCTATGACAGATGAGACGTACCCATGAACACCGAAAGGTTTCTAATAAGATCTGAACTATACTAAGAATCATGGACCAATTATTATATGTGGTCCTTCCCATCATCTTATATGCTCCACACCGCCTGTGTTAAAAAGAATATATACCAAACAAGACAGATAAAAAGAAATGTTCATTTGTAAAAACAGCACAAAATTTTAAACCAACTGCCTTTTGTATTTGTGAGCATAAAATCAGTTTACATGAGAAACACATTGAACAGCAGTCATTCTGTTCAGCTCACAAACTGAGACAGAGGACAGGCTGCAATAAGATCCAGTGTCCTCACCATCATCCCAGCACTAGTCCCATTACACTGAGCCACTTCTGCATAGGTGTGAAAATCATGTTTCCAGAATTCTTGAAAATGAGCATACACATAATTGATTTATTTTGCTTACACAGAGAACTTATTTAGTAGATATTTCATTCTGTCAAGAACCGCGGGAGGTCTGAGACTTTATTCTAGTTGCAAGCTAACAAGTTAGCCTGCCATGGTTTTATGGATGCTGGCAGAACACATGAGACTCTTGAGTCAGAGTCAAAGGACAGTTTATCATTTGCAGCAATAGCAGCACAGTGGCTAGAATACCATCATTTTTACTCAAGTTCCCAAGCCCCAGGTCCCATAAGGCAACATGAAGAGGGGCAGGGAACGACTATATACACAAGACATTGTTACAGGAGAGAAACCCCAGGTTTTGGAAATGTAAATATTTTATATTGAGTTGCAAGCCAACCTGAACAAAATTTGCCATGGAGGAAAACACTAAATTCATTGAACTGCATAGTAAATAAACCTGTTCTTTCTTCTAGAGAAAGGCACAATTTGTATCTTCTTGGACTGTTTACATTATAAACATCCTTGAAAAGACAATCTTAAACAAAGGGTGCCAGTGGTTATGTTCCCAATTTATGCAGAAACATGATACAGCCATGAAGAATTGCTTCCTAACATGCCTAACATGGCCTACCAGAAGACAAATTGGAGTGTCAGATCAACATAACCAGTTTTCTTCAAGTATACAGCATTTGAGAAATGCAAAACAAAGTGAGTACATATGTGTGTTTATGAATGCATACAAAATACATATGCCTTAGGCATATCTTATATATGATATGTATATAATATATACATATAAATATGTATATATGATATACAAAAATATACATATATCCATAAAGGGAATTTTATACATATAAAACATATGTATATGCATAATATATAAATTTATTTAAAGTATGTTAAAATATGTATATATATATATGTTAAAATATATTAAGGGAATTATTCGATTTGAAAATACACTGGTGATTTTTAAACTCTCTTCTCTACCTTTTCTATGCATCTGTTCTTATTTTAGTCAAATAGCGATTATATCAATTATATCTAGTTAATTTATTTTCTAAAGCCTGCAACACTCAAATTGATAAACATACTTTTTCTGTGTGCTGTGAAAATAAAACCCACTTTAGAAAAATGTCACATGCCCAGTAGTCTAAAAATACATTAAAATGAAAATTATCATATGAAGTGCCTGCTCTTGTCAACAAGATTGAATTCTGAAACAATGTAATGCATGTCCAATTAGCAAATGAATATGAGCTAAATGAAGGAAAAACAATTTAACTGTTGTCTGTTAAACCATGGAAATGAGCAATGTATGGACAATTGTCATATTTACTCATGTATAATTGGATTGAGCACTAGATCATGTAATGAACAGTACTGTTGACCCTCAGCAACTACAGTATTTGTATGTAATAACTCAAAAAAACACTAGTTATTAACTTTCTCTTTGTCTCAGGCTGCTATTTTTAAAATAGAGCAACAAAAGTCATGCTCTCAATTATCTTTTTTTATTCTGTTTCTATTAAGAAAATCAAGTACTGAGAATATCTGAAATCTAAACATCTACTCAGTGACAAACAATGTACATGTTTCTGTATTTTATCCTCACTAATATCCCCTGAAGTAGATATTTTCAATCCTGTTTTACAGATAATGAAATGAGGTATTAGGTGTTATATTAAATACCATGGAAGTAGAACTTGTGATTATTTAACATCAGCACAGAGCTTTTCTCCTCAACCAACTGGCCTTATTCTTTTCTATCTGTAGCACTCATCTAGGTAGTACACAGGGAGGGGAGCATCACACACTGGGGTCTGTGGAGGGAAGTAGGGGAGGGACAGTAGGGGGTGGGGAGTTGGGGAGAGATAGCATGGGGAGAAATGCCAGATATAGGTGATGGGGAGGAAGGCAGCAAATCACACTGCCTTGTGTGTACCTATGCAACAATCTTGCATGTTCTTCACGTGTACCCCCAAATCTAAAATGCAATGAAAAAAGGTGTGCTAATAACTTTGCTAAGCCCTATCCTATGTAGCTGTTAAACATGCCCTGCTTACAGGCACGTAGTACTTCAACCAGGATATCAGTGATGGACGTGCTCACAGGCATTTCCTGGCTCTCCATTCCTTTTACCTGACTGCATTCTTTCTATAGACTCTTGAAGGTAGGATTTAATTCTTTGCCTTTTCTCCTTTCTAGAGGTTGCCCACATTCCTTGGTTTATGGGGCCCTTCTTGCACTTTTAAAACTAGAACTAATCGATTGAGCTTTTCTCCAATGACATCACTCTAACCTACACTCCTGCCTTTCTTTTTCACTGTTATGATCTCATGTGATATCGATTGGTCCCACATAGAAAATCCAGAATAATCTTCCTATCCCAACTTTAATTACACCTGCAAAGTACCCTTTGTCATGAAATGCAATATACTCACAGGTCCTGGAGATAAGAACATGGACATCTTCTGGGAGATGTTATTTTGCCAACCACAGTGAGGAAGGTCTAGCACCACAGAGGTAATAAAAATAAGTTTAAAAAACAACAGTGAGACCCACATGCATATTGTTTATAAGAAGCCCAACTTAAAAAGTATTCAAGTAAAATGTAAAGGGAGAGAAAGATATACCATGCTAACAATTTTTAAAAGAAATCTTGGATAGCTATATCGTGTTCAGAGGAAGAAGATTTCAGAACAAGAAAAATTATCAGAGGCAATGAATTGTCACTTTTCCAAGAAGACATAGCAACCGTAAATATGTACATACCTAACAGAGCGTCAAAATATATGAGGCAAATGCAGACAGCACTGCAAGGAGAAATAGACAAATTCACTATTATAATTAAAGACTTTAATGCACCTCTAATAGTATTTGATGGTTGAAGCAGGCAGATAATCAGTAAGGATATGGTTGACCTGAGCGCTTCTATCAATCCAATTGATCTAATTAATATTTAGAGAATATTCCATTCAACTATGGCAAAACCCATATTCTTTTCAAGCTCACATGGATCATTCATGAAAAAAGATGACATTATAGTCTACAAAACACAGAAAGAAAGAGATAGAGAGAAAGAAAGGAAGGAAGAGAAATAATTTAAAGTTATGTTAAGAGTCAAGTTTAGCCTAAAATCGCCTCCTTAGATATTTTATGTTGAGTCTGAAGTTTTCTCCCTAAGTTGTGAACTCTACCAAGTGGAGATGTAAGGCAGACTTTAGCCTACACTGTGCCAATCACCAAGTTTTGGCCAATCAAATGTAGCCAACTGTTCAAATATGTTCAAATAAGGCAAATGCTGAGCTGTAGCCAATCTAGCCATTTTTGCACCTCACTCCCATTTTCTGTACCTCACTTTCCTTTTTCTGTCCATAAATTTTCTCCCACCATTTGGCTGCTCTGGAGTCTCTGAGCCTAATCTGGCTCAGCAGTCTGCCCAATTCATGAATCATTCATTGCTCAGTGAAACTTTTAATTTGGTTGGTTTTTCTTTTAACAGTATGCTCTTCAACTACAATGGCATTACACTAGAAAACTAGAAACTAACAACAGGTAATAGCTGGAATATCATCAATATCTGGAGATGAAACATGTACTTTATAAGCAGTACATAGTTCAAAGAAGCATCAAAATTTTTTCAAAATATATTTTTGTCTAAATATAAATTAACATACATCTTATCAAAATTTGTGGGCTGCAGCAAAAGCAATACTTGCTGAGTGTATGATGGACTATATTGCTTTCTGAGAGTGAGGGCAAGGAAAACCAAGTCAGCTCCCGCAAGCAGAAAACTGCTCAGGGTATTCTAAAGTAGTAAAGAGTATGTGTTTATCATACACCAATTAAACTAGTTCTTTAAGCACGGGATAGGGATATATGACTCTGCCCCCATGGGTCTCTCGTGGAGAATGCCTTTAGTTTGTCTTTGATCAGTGGTAAGCAGGCACCAGCTGCCTGCCTTGTTTATTTTGGTTCTATGAGAAAACACAGAACACCTGTTTGTTAATAATAATCACCTGTTCTGAAAGAATAAATACATGGGTCAGAGTCTGCTTGAGGCCCCTAGCCAGGAATGCTGTCAGCTCCCTGAGGGTCACAGCTTTGAAGAGCACTCAGCTCGGAAGGCTGTTAGTCCTTGGATAATCCCATTTTGCAATCTATCTCTGTCTCTTTTTCTTAATACCTTCAGTGCCACCTGGGTTGGGGCCTCCATGACTGAGCTGGTCTCAGTAAATACTCCGATGGAAACGTATAGCATTAAATGTATACATTAGAAAAGAGGAAGGATCTAAAATTAATTATCTAAACTTCCATCTTATGAAACTAGAGAAAGAAGAGCAATTTAAGCCTAAAGCAAGCAGAAGAAAACAAATAATAAAAATTAGACAGAAATCAGTGGTATTGAAAATAGAAAAAACAATAGAAAGAATCACTAGACCAAAAGCTTTTTATTTCAAAAGATTAAGAAAACTGATGAACCTTTACCAGTCTATGCAATGACCAAATGCTCACAATTGCCCTTAATTTACCCTCTGAATTGGCTCAAACTTTGGTCAGGCATCTCTTTTTTCAATAGAACCCTGAACTTTTGTCTTAACTCCAAATCTGAGAAAGCTCTAAAATGCAGAACACCCCTGTTAGTAGTTTATCCTGTGAGTAAGCTGACCACAGTGAAAATCAAAACTCTTAGACTACACTGATGACACTCTCTGCTCCATCACATTCATTTTTTCCTCAAAAGTTTCTGTTAGTTCTGCTAGTTGAACGCCTCTCTAAAAAAGGAAAGCTTTCCTCTGTTTGATTTTGAGATGCTTGTAGATCTTCAGATTGGAGGGTTCTTCCTGTCGAAATAGTCCTTTTAATACAATCTCTTTTCACCTAAGTTCTGATTTCTTTTTATTTAGCATTAATGTTGACCAAAAAAGCCAAACTCTGTAAAATATTTGAGAAAATTTATTCTGAGCCAAATGCAAGGAACATGATCCATAACACAGCCCCAGGAAGTCCTGAGAACACGTGTCCCCGGTGGTTGGGTTACAGCTTGATTTTACACATTCTAGGGTTCAGGAGTTACAGGGAGACATCAATCAATACCTGTAAAGTATACATTGGTTTGGTCCAGAAAGGTGGGACAACTTGAAGTCAGGTCATGGCAAGGGGATTCGAGGTCATTAGGTGGATTTAAATATTTACTGATTGGCAATAAGTTTAAAGAGTTAAGATATTATCTAAAGAGTTGAAGTCAGCAGAAAGCAATGGTTGGTGTTAAGATAAAGGGATTGTGGAGGTCAACATTTTCTCTTTTCTTTTTTTTTTTTTGAGACGGAGTTTCACTCTTGCTACCCAGGCTGGAGTGCAATGGCGCGATCTCGGCTCACCGCAACCTCCGCCTCCTGGGTTCAGGCAATTCTCCTGCCTCAGCCTCCTGAGTAGCTGGGATTACAGGCACGCACCACCATGCCCAGCTAATTTTTTGTATTTTTAGTAGAGACGGGGTTTCACCGTGTTGACCAGGATGGTCTCGATCTCTTGACCTCATGATCCACCCGCCTCGGCCTCCCACAGTGCTGGGATTACAGGCTTGAGCCACCGCACCCGGCCTAACATTTTCATTAAGTAGATGAAGCTTCCAGGTAGCAGGCGTCACAGAGAATACATGGTAACTGTTTCTTATCAGACCTTAAAACATGTCAGACTCTTAGCAAAAACTCTCCTGGATCAGGAAAAGAACTGGAAAGAGAAAAGGTTCTCTACAGAATGTAAATGTTTCCCATAAGAGATGGTTGCGTGGGGCCATTTCAAAATATGTCAAAGAGATATACTTGGGGGCAAAATACTTGGGTTTCTTTCAGTGTCTGGTGCCTGTCATATAATACTACAGTAGAGTGTGGTTGGAATTTGGTAGCTTACTGCTAAAAAGAGTATGTTTTGTCAGTCTTAGGATTGCTGTTTTAACATTAATGCTGGTCAGTTGTGACTGAATTCCAAAGGGAGGAGGTTATAATGAGGCATATCTGATCCTCCCTTTCCACCACGGCCTGACGTAGGTTTTCAGGTTTCTTTGGAATTCTCTTGGCAAATAGAAGGTTCTATTCAGTCAGCTAGGAGCTTAGGATTTTATTTTTGGGAGAACCAAGAAAAAGAGAAGACATTAATTATCAACATCAGAAATAAAAGAGGGTCAATACTTCTGATCCCATGGGCATAAAAATGATAAGAGCTAATTAAAAATGATAATATTAATAACTATGGATAACAAATGCCCATAAATTTAACAACAGATGAAACAGGTCAATTGCTAGGAAGATACAAACTACCATAATTCTCATAAGGATTAATAAATACTCTGACTAGGCCTATATCTGTTAAAGAAGTTGAATGAAGAATAATAACCTTTTAAATAAGTAGAAGGAAAGAATGAGAATGAGCCTTAACAAAGATCCTGAGATGCAAGTGAATACAGCTTGGGCAGGACAAATGTCGAGTTCTGTCTGGTTAGAGCAGAGGGGAGACATTAACATTTAAGTTAGGTCTCCATTTGATAACAGCTGCCAATAACCTGTTTCCCCCTCATTGAGTTCTGGAGTTAGAGGGCAAGGGACTCTCTAGCGGGGCCCTTCTCATGGACCAGCAGGAAGGAGTTTGTGCAATAGAATCAGCCTCTTGGTAGTCTGACAAGGGAGAGAAGAAATACTTTGTTCAGGAGCTGAGCTTCAGTGGCATAACACAAATAGGTAAAAATACAAAGCAGTTAGCACTTACAAAGAAGAGTCCATTGAATGGCTTTGGCACTTTGAGAGGGGATTCAGAACAAAGGAGCCTTGGGATGCTGACATGATTTAGAGGATTCGAAAAGTTCAAACTGGGGGTGTGGCAATGGATCTAGAGAACATCTGCAAGCATTAATGTCTTTGCTTCTCATTACAAATTAGTTATAATTCCAAATTAGTGCCAGGTCATTTTTCAATCGTTTTATTCTGTAATTGTTGATCTGTGGGGTTGATGGGTCTGTGGCAAATTTTTCATCACCAGAAATGTAAAATTCAATACCTTAACTTACTTTAGGACTAAAAGAGTGTGTGCTGTTTGTTGTGTGAACATGTGTGCATTTTGGGTGGTAGAGGAGTTATGGGAGTGTTTTTATTTTAACAAAAAAAGACTTTTAGCTGAGGGGCTTTTTAGATTCATGGATCACCGTCAAGTCAAAACAAAGCGATGGAAAATTATCAGACTGGAATTGAGATGTGTTAGCTTGATCACAACATGCTAAATTTTAAGAAATTCTGGACGTAAAGAGTGTGCAACTATGTGGTAGGCAGAATGTCCTCAAGGATCCCCAATCCCTCGCTATTCAATCAAGCACTAATCTAGGGACTGTTGTAGAGAGACTTTGCAGTTGTAAGTTAGGGCTTTAGTCAGTTGACCTTGGGGTTTGGAGGATATCCAGGGGAGCCTGATCTAATTACACAGCCTGTTAAGAGACAGAAGAGCACATAAGAGGAAGTCAGAAATCTTTGAAGCTCAAGAAGGACTCCAAGTGCTATAGCTGGACAGTGATACGAAAAGGAAATGAGATTCAGGTGGCCTCTAGTAGCAGGAAGGGAGCCCAGCACCTAGCAAGAAAATCGGAGCCTCAGTCCTACAATCACAAAGACATGAATTCTGTCTGCGTTTGAATGACCTTGGAAATGAATTCTTCCTTCAGGCTTCCACAGTCGCTCAGCCTGGCTGACACCTGGATTTCAGCCTTGCAATAGCCCGAGCAGAGACCAGCTGAGCTTACCTGGACTTCTGACCTACACAAACAGATAATAAATAGGTATTGTTTTAAGATGTTAGGTTTTGGTAATTTGCTATCAATACAGAAGGGCTGGGCTCTCAGCTAAATCCCAACCCTAACCCTGGAACCGCGGCCCTAAATGAAAACAGCTGGCTCAGTTTTCCCACTCAAATGTTGCGTTTTTGGCATACCACGCCCCTGGCCTATTCCCATAAAACGACTTCAGCTGACAGAGAAACAAAAACAGCTGAGTAGCAGGGATACAAGCAGTTGAGTGATGGGGATACAAGTGTCTGGGCAGTAAGCAGAGAAATAACTGAGGATCAGAGACTACCGACAGACACAGCTAAGCTCAGAAGGTGCGGCTTCTGGGAGTGATCACCTTCTTCCCACGCCATCCTTTTTCCAATTCCCCATTCTGCTGACAACCACTTCTATCAATCAATAAAATCCTCCACATACACTACCCTTCAAACCTTTCATGTGGCTTGATTCTTCCTGGATGCTGGACAAGAACCTCGTGCTGAAAGGGCAGGGGCCTGGATGCTGCTGCAGGCCCCGCACCGAGCCTGCTCCCAGCAGAGAGAAGTGACTGGCTAGCTCTGGCGTTCACTCCAGTCCCCATGCTCGTGCTCGCATGCTCCCTCTCTCAAGGTATGGCCAGTGGTGGGCTTAGCCAAGCCACTCTAGTTCCACCCACAAAAGGGGTCAAGGTCAAGAGAACAATCCCATCTCATCTGGGGGCTTGCCTGGGATTCAAAAAGGGATGAGTTAAAATGCAGAACTGTTGGGTCTGTCTCTTTTCAAAGACCTCTCCCTTCTCTTTTTCCTTTGCATAAAAGGAATGTTGGAAATGTTTCCCTTCACAGAGGTCTAGCCATTCTGAACCAGGGGAGGGATCCAGTGATTAAAGGAGCCCATTTCCAAAGAGCAAGATGCTCTTCCCCCAGGCTCCCCGCCCCCTTATGCAGTTTAAGTTGCTTTCTTCTTTTCTAAGCCAGAGACTTCTCTTCCTACCTTAACAGTGTGCTTATGATAAGGAAACAACAGAGGAACGACCCCTGCTGGCTCTTAGCTGTAAAATTGGCAAGGCCTGTTTGGGACTTAATCTAAATGAAAGCTATGCTCCCCCTGAAACACTTTTTTGCCCCAAACTCGATTTTGAGCTTTAGGATGAGGCCTTGAAAGGAAAGCCAGATCTGAGGGAGCTAAAGTCAGGCAACAGGCACAGGGCTCATTCCTGCTGATTAAACCCCACTTCATGGAAGGAGGCCATGCTCCATGGCATAAATGAGACCCAGTAGTAGGGTTATTGGCAGTAGGGGAGGTAGAGGCATAGGTGAGTGCGGATAATTCCTATTCTCTAGGCCCTCCCTGTTTCGTGGGTACAAGCCACATTGGCACCCATGGGTAGCACCTGTCAAGGTCACTGGGATTTGGGGATAAGGACGGAAAAGAAAAGGGGTGTATGCCTGCTTTCTTTCTACCTCACACCCCGAATCTGTGCTGAAAGAAGGAAGGGAATGAGGGACACCAAATTCCCTGTCTTTCAGAATGGGCAACAAACTTCACCACCTCCAGTTTATACTCAGAAAATGGATCCTGGGACCAGATAGTGCTTTAGAGGACCTACTAAAAGAGACCACGTTTTTCAGACACAAAAAAGAGGCAGAAGTTTTAATGGCCACCATTCAAACCCACAAACTCCAGAATTCCTAAGGTGCACCCGTTAACTGCTGCAGATTTGACAAGAACAGTTATTTCTCTCATAAAGTTTAACCAATCCTATGCAAAGTTCAATCTGTTTCACCAGGGAGAGACAGCTCGGGATGCAATGTTGTTAGTATATTTCGCTTTTTCTTTCTGTAATCTTTGGTACTAGACTCTTTCCTGGTATAGTACATGTTTGATCCATGCATACTTAACCTTGTAAAGCTTGTTTTTCCTCTTGTCAAGAAGCCATCAAGGCTTCAAATGGGCGGAGCCTCAGATAACCGCCCCCTTTTGTTGGGGACCCTTGGGTAGACCTCTGGGTGGAATTTAACTGCTGTTCCCCAAAACAACTCCCCCTTTCAGCAGAAAGTAGCTAAGATTGGTCATCATCCGTATTCTAATAGCAGTTACATGTGCATCTTCAGAGGGAGGAAATGAAACAGAACTGCTGAGCTCCAGGCTAAACCCCACCCTTAAGCCTGGAACTGTGGCCCTAAGTGAAAACAGCTGACACCATTTTTCCACCCAAATGTTGCCTTTTTGACCTGCTATGCCGCTATCCTGTACCCAGAAAAAGACTTTAGCTGGCAGAGC